GCCTCACGTAGGTGATCTCGTAGGCTTTGCCTGGGGACACAACCCCACCGCGCTGTCACCCTTCTCCTGGCTGCCACCGGGGTGGAAATTATCCCCGTGCCCCGTCCTGCACGGCTGCTGGGCAGCCCCATGGGCACCCTCCTGCTCTGCAAAGCAGGAATCTCCATCCAGCTGCCCTTCACCAGCTCCTCCTCGCTGCAGCCCAAATGCTGCCCTGCCCTAAATGGGCTCTAGCCCCATGGCAGCCACCGACCCATCGTATGGATGCTCCAGGAGGGTGGCATGGGCAAGGAGCCTCTGCAAAGCCAAGCTCTAACCACCAGGCCAAGGCATGGAGCAGCAGTACCCTGGGGACGGGGAGGTGGAAAGAGTCAAGGCCGGTCCCTTCCCAAGGAGCTGCGTGCCAGGACCCGGCGTCGCTGCCGTCTTTGCTGGGAGGAAGACAAAGAGAAGGCCACCAATCCCCAGGGCAGATGGCGCAGCTCGGAAAGAGCTTGAAAGAATTAACAAAAAAAAGGGGGAAAGAAAACACCAAAGTGAACATCAGAACCGCTTAATTGCCAGAGATGAAGGACCGGCTCAAAGACTGGATTGCTCCATAACAACACTGCTCCTGACAGCGCAAAACAATTAGCTGCAAGGTTTTGGCTTTATTTGAAAAGATAATGAGTTGGGAATGTTAGAGGGGTTATTCCGGGACTAGGAAAACAAGCTTTTAATTGGGCCCATATGAATACTGTCGCATATGTGCTGCGACTTTGCTGTGGGGGAGCCGAGGCAGCCCAGCTACCGGCACTGGGAAAAGCAGCTGCCTCCCATCAGGGACACTGGGAACGCCCGAGGTGGGGGAACAGACCCACTCACAGCCCACCCAGAGGTAACAAGGGCTGGAAAGGGGCTGCAACCGGGCTGTCCCACTGCCACCGTGCTCCCCTCTGTCTCCCCCCACCCCCAAATTCATGTCACCTCCCTCTGGGCTGGTGACAGGGGGGTGTCCCTGCCCTTTACCCAATGGTGGAGGCGGGGGGACGGCCGTCGGGCGCCCGTTCCCAGACAGCAGGGGCCCGGTGGGATGTCTACTAAAACAGCCAGGTCAAGGCCATTGCCTCCTGGAACAGTTTCCTCTGGGAGAGGAAGGGAGCTCGGCGCTGGGTCAATAAACAGCCCCTGCCCCGAGTGGCCCCGTGCGAGGGGAGGTGGGGGGGGCTGGGCTGGGGGAGCCTGATCTCGGAGCCTCCAGCTGGGATGGAGGAGACTTGCTGCCCTGGAGAATCATCCCAAGGGAACGCCTGCTTTTCTCAAATGGGCCTTTTAATCAACCAACTTCTGCTCAGGAATAAAAAAAAAAAATAATCCAGAAAATAACCCGGGCTGGTTGTCTCCTTTTTCCTGCTTGGCAAGGTGTGAGGTGTCCCAAAGCCGGGTGTGCCATGGGATAGGGACACCGGGAGGGTGCACAGGCAGCTGAGAGTGACAGCACCAGGATCCCTGGATGCTCTCCCAGCTGTGCTGTCCTCCGAACAACATGTTCACCCACCTCCTGTGGAGCCCAAACTGCAGCTTGTACCATGCAAGGGGCTCCAGATGAAGCAGTTTGGAGAGAAGAGAGGAGCATGTGGGATGGTCACGTCACCTACATGTCCCCAGCCACCTCCAGCCACCCCAAACCTCAGCTCCGGGAGCGTGCCACAGGCTCACATCCCACAGGAAAATCAGCGCCAGAGCCACAGATGCAGACACTGCCTAATCTAGACACTCTGACACGAGCCGGCGGCATTCAGAGCCACCCGAGCAGCCCCGGTGCCTTTGCAAGCCCAGGGATATTTTGGGTTCCTCCCTGACGTCTGACTGTGGAAATGCAGCAGCCACAGGCACTCGGGATTATCGATCGGCTCCGAGTCCGAGGCACTGTAACGGCACGGCTGAAACCTCGCACGGAAGAGAGGTTTAAAGGAGGATAATCTAATTAACGCCAATCAACACCATGCAGGTAAACACAGGTCTTGTCCAACTCATTCGATATCTTATTTAATAAGCTCCCCAGGTAACAGCGCTGGAGAACTTACGAGACATCTGACTCGGGGCTGAGCGAGACGAGCAGGATGGCAGGGATGCCTGGATGAGCAGGGATGCTCTACATGGGTTAAAAAAAACCCAATTATTGGGTGGAGCTCACGGGTGAGGACTCAAGGACTCCTCCTGGGGATCTGCAGGGGCCGGTTGGGCTTTTCCTCCATAACCCAAGTGAAAGCATTAAGGTAGTAATAAAAAGGTCTGCAGATGGGACAAGAAGAGGGCCCGCGGGCTATGGGAAAGGTCAGGCAGCAATGTGCCAGGCACCAAAATGGCACTTTTTAGCATGGCAAGATACACGAGCCATGCAGAAAGAGGGGTACGTTTGCAGGGGGATGCTCCGGTTCAGGAAGGGACACGGGGGGGGCTGTGAAGACAAAGTTGGTGCGATGTCACACAGATTGCATTCGGGTTGTCTGCGCTCCATCAAACAGGAACGAATTTGGGGCGACATGACAGCCTGCGTTAGGTGGGCGAGGGGCTGGCAGGTCCCCTCCCACGGGGCTGGCAGGGAGTGGGAGCAGGGATGGCAGGCTCCTTGGGCATCGCTCCTCATGCCTGGTGGGGAGCCCAGCCCTGTACCGGGGAGAGGGACCAGATGTTTGTCCGCCCGCAGGGGGCTGGGAAAGCAGTGACCTCCGCTGAGACGGGCAGCTCCGTGTCCCTGCCAGGGCAGGCACAGACCCTCCACCATCACCCCGACTCCAGCCACCGGGTCCCACCAGCACTCAGCTGGGACAGCTGAATGGGACTCACCAGCTCCAACCACTGCCCCTCCAGTACCCCCCCCTCGGCACGCAGATGGCAGGAGATGGCAGAAAATGAAGGTTTTACAGCACCAGTCGATAACCAGGAGAGTTTAGATGGCAGGAAAGTGTTAAAAATCCTTTTTAAAATGCCAGGCATGCCCCATGGGTTTAAGTACTCTCCAAGCAGGCGGCTCACACAGTATTTAAAACTTCGAAGGTCGGATCCCAGCTGGGGGAGCCTGCTGGGGCTGCACGGTGTGTGCAGAGCTCTGCTCCCCCCGAGAACGTACCAGGCATCCTCAGCAATGCACAGGGGGGAAACCGCACGGGCTTGGCATCCACGGTGCTCACCCCGGTGGCAAGGCTCTCACGGGGGAGGGGGTCTGTGCCTCCCCATGTCTGCTTCTGGCTCCAAAAATTTGCATAATGGATAAAAAGCAGCCTTGGGGGAGCAGGAGAGCAGGCACCCCAGGCACGGCTGGCAAGGATGTCACACAGACAGGAGCAGCCACCAGGATCCTCACCCTCCAAGGGACCAGGGCTCAGCTGATGGATGGGGAAGACCCTCCCCAGGACTTTTCAGTGATCTACCCTTCGCAGAGGGCATCCCCCTCAGAGGGCATCACTTGCACCTCCTAAAAGCCCTGGGGAGGGTCCTGTCTTTCACCCAAAAGCAGCACCATGAGCTGTGGGGTGAAGGAGCATCCACCCCCCTCACCCCCAGCCATGCACCCACTGCCAGTTTCCCTTGGGGGGGTCCCACGGGCACTTACCCAGGTGGAGGGTGATGTTGACGGAGTTGGGGTACTGGATGCCGAAGGCCATGGACTGGCTCTGCCACCAAGTGCTCTCCTCCTGGCTGTGGAAGTCGGTGAGGAAGGAGGCGTTGTGGTGGAGCCGGGGGTCGGTGGCATCGCAGCGGTGGCACAGGGCGCTGGCGTGGCGGGCACCCATCTGCAGGCAGTAGTCCTCAGGGGGAGAACCACACGTGTTGGTGGCCTCAACGGCCCGACCGAAGGCGGCGTTCTCAAAGACGGGCATGCAACGGCGGGGCTGGCCCCGGGGGTCCCAGCAGGAGGGCGAGACCCCCGTCCCCAGCCCCAAGAGGGCCAGCAGGCAGAGCCCGGGTGGCCGTGCCATGCTGGGGCTCGCCTGGCTGGACTCTGAGCCTCCTCCGGATGGCATGGTGGGAGCAGGCGGGACGGGATGGGTTGGGACAGAATGGGATGGGTCCCCCTACCCGGCACCTCCTCTCGCTCCGAGGTCCATCTTGTGGAAGCTTCTGGGAATGTCAAAAGCTTCATGTATGAGTCCAGGCTGCGGGGTTTGGGCTTCCCCAGGCCACCCTGGTCCCTGGGCCACAGGGTCAGGCAGGATGGGATTCCCCCAGTGGGGTGCACCCCCCCATCCCTGTTGCTGCAGGAAAGAGGGATATTGCACCTTTGGCTGCGCGGATGGAGCTGAGCTCCTCCATTTCTCAGCCCCAACGATGAGCTCGTGGTAGTTCATGCCCCACATGTGGGGCTTTTCACTTAAATAGGTGGGGGTCACCAACTTTCTCAATAATGGATAAAAAGCAGCCTTGGGGGAGCAGGAGAGCAGGCACCCCAGGCACGGCTGGCAAGGATGTCACACAGACAGGAGCAGCCACCAGGATCCTCACCCTCCAAGGGACCAGGGCTCAGCTGATGGATGGGGAAGACCCTCCCCAGGACTTTTCAGTGATCTACCCTTCGCAGAGGGCATCCCCCTCAGAGGGCATCACTTGCACCTCCTAAAAGCCCTGGGGAGGGTCCTGTCTTTCACCCAAAAGCAGCACCATGAGCTGTGGGGTGAAGGAGCATCCACCCCCCTCACCCCCAGCCATGCACCCACTGCCAGTTTCCCTTGGGGGGGTCCCACGGGCACTTACCCAGGTGGAGGGTGATGTTGACGGAGTTGGGGTACTGGATGCCGAAGGCCATGGACTGGCTCTGCCACCAAGTGCTCTCCTCCTGGCTGTGGAAGTCGGTGAGGAAGGAGGCGTTGTGGTGGAGCCGGGGGTCGGTGGCATCGCAGCGGTGGCACAGGGCGCTGGCGTGGCGGGCACCCATCTGCAGGCAGTAGTCCTCAGGGGGAGAACCACACGTGTTGGTGGCCTCAACGGCCCGACCGAAGGCGGCGTTCTCAAAGACGGGCATGCAACGGCGGGGCTGGCCCCGGGGGTCCCAGCAGGAGGGCGAGACCCCCGTCCCCAGCCCCAAGAGGGCCAGCAGGCAGAGCCCGGGTGGCCGTGCCATGCTGGGGCTCGCCTGGCTGGACTCTGAGCCTCCTCCGGATGGCATGGTGGGAGCAGGCGGGACGGGATGGGTTGGGACAGAATGGGATGGGTCCCCCTACCCGGCACCTCCTCTCGCTCCGAGGTCCATCTTGTGGAAGCTTCTGGGAATGTCAAAAGCTTCATGTATGAGTCCAGGCTGCGGGGTTTGGGCTTCCTCAGGCCACCCTGGTCCCTGGGCCACAGGGTCAGGCAGGATGGGATTCCCCCAGTGGGGTGCACCCCCCCATCCCTGTTGCTGCAGGAAAGAGGGATATTGCACCTTTGGCTGCGCGGATGGAGCTGAGCTCCTCCATTTCTCAGCCCCAACGATGAGCTCGTGGTAGTTCATGCCCCACATGTGGGGCTTTTCACTTAAATAGGTGGGGGTCACCAACTTTCTCACAGCCCCAAAATCAAGAGGGAGTGGAGGAAAGGCAGACCCAGCATCACCCCAGCACGCTGTTCTCCCCCCAACTGATTTATGGGGACCCCACTGTTCCCCTACTCACACCAGCCTGGCTGGGTCGTGGGTCTGTGACACCCCTCAATGCCTCCACATCAGCCCCCAGAGTGGGGGTCCTGTCCCTGCCTGCTGCCACAGGGCAGCCCACTCCCCTGGAACAGGGCGAGGGCACATCCTTGTGGAGACATCTCCATGGGGTAGCAAAACCAGGCAGTCACCAGAACTCATTAGCAGCTTCTCAGGTAATGCTAATTACAGTCTGTGCCAGAGGGGATCCCTCTCAGGACTGTGGCACCCTTCAGATTTGACCCATGGGGACAGGAGGGGGATGGCAAGGAGGCAGACAGGCGGGCCAGCAGATCCCAGCACCCACCAGCCCCACTCTGCAGGGGGGGCGTTTGCAAAAATGGGGTGCACAGGGGACGTCTGCCTCTGCCCCCCACACTACTCAGCTGAGCTGCCCGCAGGAGCCCTGGAAACTTAGCCCTCATTTATAATTTAAGCTCCCTGCCTCCCCTTTCCTTCTAGTCTTATTTATTTTATTCTCCTTCTCCGTGCACGCTGCAGGGAGAAAGCACCGGAGGGGAGCTGTGAATCAGAGGCTTCGGCAGCGGCTCCCGCAGCAGCCCCGTTTCAAAGCCCCATTACCATATATTGACCTGGGCTCTGACAGCCAGAGCCAGCTCCGCTGGGAAGGGCGAATTTCCCAGCGCTGAGGAGATGTGCATCAGCTGCCTGGGAGCGGGCAGCCGGTGGCACAAACCCCACTGTCAAACTCTGGGGAGAAAGAGAAGGGTTTTCAGCTCAATAATTGCTTTGTGCATCCCCGCCACCAGTTAGTTTTAAGGGGATTTGCATCCTGCAGGGATGAGGTTTTCCAGGTGTTTTGCTTTCCCCTCGCTGCCGAGGCTGCAGGCTGTGGGCAGGAGAGGCTCTCTCTTGCCGTGGGTTTGCCACCTTCTCCTCCTCACCCAGGAGATGATTTCCCTGCGTGACCCACCTCCTCTTGCAGAGGGGCCCATGTTAGTGGTGAGACCACACAACCAGGGCTTGGTGGCTGCTTGTGGGATGCACAGAAGATTCAAGCAAAGTTGATGAGTATCCCAGTCCCACCTCCTCCTCCAGCACAGCCTACCCAGCACGGGGGGATGGACCATGGGGCCAGAACGTGATGGGAATCGGTGGTGACACCGCTGTGCCCAACAGTGGGGATGCTGGAGCTGGTGTGGGAGCAGCCTGTCTCCAGACTGATTCAGCTGCACCCTGGGCTGGCCAAGTCCCTCACCAGGCTCCTGCCAGCTGCTGGGCACAAGCCCTTGCTTGTCTAAGGAGATGCTCCACACTCGCTGAGTGTGGATGGGAGCTCCCTTTTCTCTGAGAGCAAACCACTGGACACATCTTTCCTGTGCTGTGATGCCTACCAGGTCTGGATGGTGGCTTCTCACAGTGAAACCATCACACACAGGTGCATTACCTTACCATGGGTGAGCTTCACCCCTAGATGGGATGAAGAACTAAAGCTGGCTATGGGAAACCCCTCATCTTCCAGGGACATGGACAAGCTTGAACAAAGGTGTCCATAAGAGCGATCGGAGCTGGGACTTGCCCCCAGCCTCACCTCAGCTGAAGTCCTCTGTACCTGGGGAGACTTCACCCACTGCCCCGGGACTTTGGTGTAAGCATGGTGACCAAGGCTCTGATGGCACCTTAACCTGCCATCCCAGCCCAGGAGCCTTCTCCTGCCCTGGCACAGACCTGGCACCCCTCAAGGGTTAAAAGCCATGGAGGCGGTGAGGAGAAAATGTTCTTCTGATTTGCTTAATGAACGTTAATTAAGGAGACAGAAGATAGCAGATTCCTTCAGGGTAGAGATGAAAGGCCTGTTAATTAAATCTGGAGAGAGAGCACAGGGCCGACTGATCCTCCTTCTGATCAGACCTGACAAGGCAGGGACGGGGCAGGAGCGAGGTGTGTGAGAGCCCACAGCCCCCGTCTCCCACAGCCCAGCTCAAAGCTGGGACCACCACCAAGTTCCAACAGGGTGTTGGGCATGGGAATGGGTGCCACCAGCCACTTACCTGCCTCTGCCACCCATGGGGCTGAGGGTGGCCACTGGGTCGGTGCCCCTGACTCTGGGCTGGCACTGTGAGATGGGCACATGCTTGGTTTCCAGTGGATCCTTCCCCAGAAGGGATGAGCTGCCCTTGCTATAGAGCTGGCTAAGACAAGGTCTCCCCTGGGCCAGCTCCATCATAGGGAAGAGGAGGAGGAGGAGGAGGAGGAGGTGGTTTGGTCACCCAGCTCAGCAGTTTGCCCCAGGGTCCCACCACCAAAGCCTGGGCATGGTTTAAAGGCACCAGCTGCCACTTTGTGCTGGTGCATCTCCGTGCCAGGAGGGGCAGGTCTCCAGGGCTGGTGGTGCCTCACCAGGATGGACCTCTCCTCTCTGATCCCCATCCCCAGGTGTCAGCACAGGCTCTACCTTCCCCTCCCAGGAGTGATTTGCTGAAAGGGGCTTTTCTACCCATAGCTGAGACCCTGAGAGACTGTCTCACACTCATGGGATTCTGCCAACAGCCTCCTGCCTCCCCACCACCCCACCAGCTTTTAGCCCGGAGACTGTCTCACACTCACAGGATTCTGCCAACAGCCTCCTGCCTCCCCACCAGCTTTTAGCCCAGGTTTATTTTTAAAAGCAGAGCAGCTGAGCATCCCAAATTGCACCCTCCCTCCCCGAAACCGCGGCAGCCCTACCTTCCTGCCCTGCCTGGAGCGGGGATTAGAGACAGGTTGAGCCTCAGGACGCCACGAGCATTTCAATGGGCACAGCCACAGCGCTCTGCTGCTCTCCTGGCACGTGAGGAGCAGAGAGCTCCAGCACCAAGGGGTTTTCTCCGGGGTGATGGAGTGGTCCTCGCCAAAAGCAGTGGCCCCCTGGGCAGAGGGGATCAGCCCAGGAGAGCACAACCAGCAGCTCCCCCCTCGGTTCTGCTCGTCACGGGGGAAAGACGAGTGGGAAATGGCACGTGCAGTGTAAATAATGTCTGGAGCATCCCTTCTCTGCGCTGGCTTATTTTGTAAACCTGAACTTTGCAAAATGTCACGAAACAGAGAAATGGGAGACCTGGGATGAGTAAATCTCTATTAGAAAATTCCCCAGGACGGCGGGCAGTCATGTTCTCGCTCGGTGACGGCACATTACAGCCCAGCCCCAGCTCGGGGAGCGGGGTCACGCGCGGCACTGATTGCGGAAAGTATTTAATTAACGCTGCCGTAAATACAGCACTAGCGATGCCAACCAGACCACGACGGGGCAGGATGCTGCCGAGCTGCGGGAAGCTCTGCCAAGGCAGACAGGAGAAGAGGAGGGAAGGTGGAGAGAAAATATGGCAGATTTTGCTCCCTGCCTTGTCCCAGCCCTTGGGGGCCTCGGGAAAGGGGGGGGCAAGAGGAGGATGGGATAGGGACATTGCCCCCTGAGGGGCTGTCCCCTGAGCAAGAAGGCTTCACCATCAGCACCCAGACAAGTGAGGAGATCCCATAATAGGGAGATGAGCACTCTGGGGGCAAGATGCTCCTGGAGCAATTGCCAGGACAGCCATCGCTGTCCTCTCCCCTGACACACAAAGAACCTGGAAGCCACCTTTTATAGACCTAATCATCCCCAAATTTCCTCAGTACCTGGCAGACAGCGAGAACAGGGACATTGCAGCCTCACTCATGCACAACCACAAGCTCATCGTCTCACAGATGAGTTGAAGGACACCAGACCTTACCCAGTCCAGGGATGTGGGGTGCCAGCTGAGCCATCATTGTCCCCATGACACACACCTCACCCATCTCATGGGGGCTCAGGAGGTCGGGAACCATGGTAGGAGGAAGCACCGGGTCAGTGCAGGACCAGCCAGTTTCAGGCACAGCCAAAAAGTCCCTTTCCTCGCCTGAGCTCATCAGTAGCTTAATGATACCCGCTAAAAAGCTTCAGAGTCCCTAATCGCTCATCACATTACAGCTGCTCACAAGTGAGGCCAACCAGTACAAACCTCCTCGAAGCCTTTCTAATTAACGAGCAGGAGCTAAGGCTCTCCCAGCCTAAAAGCAGCATCTCAGATAAAACCAGCAGCCTTCATGCAAGCCCTCGGTCTCCCTTGATAAACCCCCTTAATGGGCTTGGTAGCATCACCTGAGGCCACCTCGTTGGCTAATGAGGCACATCTGTCTGTCTGTCCTCCCCTGCGTGCCTGCTGTGGGTGGGGAGAAGTCCATCCATCCATCCACCCACCCATCTGTCCCCACCATGGCAGGAGCCATGGGATGTGCCTGGCACAGCTGCCTCTAACCCCATGCTGGGTCCCTGGGTATGTCCCCTGGTACCCCATCCGTGAGAAGCTCTGAGCATCCCCTTCACCGGGAGGGTGGGTGACAACTGAGCAGTGGCAGATGCCACCAGATGGTCACCCAACTGGAGATCCAGCTAAACCAATAACCGGGAGGGCTCTGGAGGCCCCTTGTTTGCCAACTGACTCCCCGTGCTGGTCCCACAGGGAGAGGGAAGCGAGCTCA